TCTCTCCGCCTGCGTGTCTGAGTAGCACTGACTGAAGAACGTGTAAAATATTAACACAGACGGCGTCTTTGCTCACAGTTCATGCTGGAGCTCTCTGCTCGTTTTTACTATCATGTCCTGACAAAGGAGAGCGAGCACTGAGACAAAGGAGGATACTGGAGGGAGAGAAGGAGCGGATCAGATATGCAGCAGAGTGAGAAGAGAGAAACCAGAACAATAATTTAAAAAGAAATATGGGGGAATACATCAACAGGGGGAAGACAAGGGGACAGGCAGTACAGACAGACAGGAAATAATAGAGAGGAAGAGAGGAGACGGGATAATGAAGGTGATGGCAGAGCGTGGGGAAAGCAAGAAGAGACCACAAGAGAGAAAAGAAACGGATGGGTGGAGAAACAGAAAGACAGAGACTGTATTTAGAAAGTAATATGGAGCAGATGCAAAGCCCACCAGTGACTCACCTAGTGCTGGTACTGTATGTGTGTCTAATGAGCATCGCTGCGGAGGCCTTGGGCTTTCTACTGAGCACCGTTAAAGCATTTTTAGACATCCTTATATCATAGTCAAATTAGTTTGATACCACTGCTGTAAAAGAATATACTATCAATCAGTTGGCAGTCTCCACCTCACTCCAGCGGTATGATCTCACATATTTAAGACCTGATGCAAAGACAATATCTGCTTTCATGATTTTATTTTGTTTCACTGGTTCCAGCCTCTGACATCTCTAAAAGTTTTGGCTTTGTTGCACATTGTGATGAGTGGCCTTTTCCCTCTTTTTTAACATGAAGCAATCCACGATAGTCATCTAGGTCTTAGATAAGAAGTGCATCCTTCTCAATTTTCTGTCATTTTCGGGATTCAAAATGTATTCAAAAACGAACAAACATTGGAAATTGCAGTAAAATGATCAGATTATGATATACGCAAAGCAATATTAATTAATTGATAAATAAAAGAGTACTCCAGCAATTTAGTGGTGCACTTCAGTTAAGTTTGGTGGCTTACAAAAGACACATTTATAAATAAAAAAGGGAGGTTCCAATTGATGTAGGCAGAGAAGTTCATACAACAGGCTCATGTCAATCTACACTCTTAAACACACAATAGAGGAGTCGTCTGTGCTGGTCCATTAAGGAGATGTGATTAGATGTCTTTTTAAGATTTTACACATTAAAGTCTGATAACCGGTCTTGGGGGGACCTGAAATATTGTTTACGACGTGGTCCCAAAAAACGGTTTTGGTCTCTATAATTAATATCCCCGTTCATGACAACTGCATGGGGGGTGAATTTATATATAACTCACCCATATTTAAATTATATTGAGGCTTAAAGATGTGCATAATTAAGGGCGTGGTCACGTTGAGTGACAGGTGGGTGCGGTCTCAGGTCGCTTGCCACTAGTGCTCTACTGCCTCACCTGGGCCCGCCTCGGCTCCACAGACGCTACCAGTCTTTGCCCATTTCTGGATTAGCCACCCACTTAAAGCTTCAAAATGGCTCTTCAGAAACCTACGGGTGATGTCCATATTTCATACAGTGTATTGATAAATCCCATAACATAAGTGGCACGCACTGTAAAACAAAGCGATGTGAGGAGTTTAGACACTAAAGCCTTGAAGAGGAAGATGAAAAGGTCAAAGCCAGCTTTAGAACTTCAGAGCGGTGTAATACAACAGGCTTATTTTAAAATGCTAGTATCACTGAGTACATGTTGCTCTTGCTTTCCCCATCACGGCACCACACTGCCAGTGGAAGGAGTCTCCAGGCTTACAGCCTGTACTATCTTTACATTACTACAGCCTGCTCTGTCTCCTTCTTTACTACTGTAGCTTTTTCAGCACAGTTCCTCTCGAGACTGATGGCTTATAGCAAAGCAGCAGTCAAGGGGCCTCCTCATATAGAACACAATACACAATATTCATACAGTACTCATTGTTTTTGCTCCCCACCAGCGGACACGGGAGAAATCCAGGTCAAGTGCATCAGATAAATTGCGCTGACCTTACCTGATCTGTCCATTATCTATGTGGGAGCAGCAGCCAATTGGATTAACTCTAGGATTACAGCTCAATTTTTTTTTTCTTCTCTAAGTGCCCGGCTGTTACAGCACGGGTTATATATTGTTTTTAAAATCTCAGTGTATGCGTGTGAGTTTACTCTTCAGGCAGGGGTCCAGAGCACATCTCGGGCTGCTATAGCAACAAGGCTGGCACCCCGACTGCTGCATCATGGCAAGTGCACGAACACACGGATAGATGCACGGACACACACTATCGCCACGAGGCCCCTTCAGTGACACACACTGCAGGGGGACTCAGTTTTCTGCTAAATTACTCTGGATTCAGTGCAAGGTGGATGAGGACAGACTTGGAGAGGGGTCAACATGACGTAGAGACAACGTGGCAGTGAGGTGATTTTAAACATAATGACGGAGTCTGAAGTAGTCTGAAAGTGATTTGAACATTCTGGAAAGTAAAAGGAAATCCGGGGTGAGAAAATAAACATTTACTATTCCTTTCCTTATCAGATAATATGAATAATGGAGCGCTCATCGCTCTAGAAACCATTACCGACTGGGTGACTCACTTCCATTACTAATTCAGCACTGCTCAATTTACCCTCCAGATGTGCCATAGTAATGAGTCTGTTTATTAGCAGATTCATCAGTTAACTGCCCACATATCTGCTGTTATTACTGGCAAAAACACAAGGGCAGAACGTCCCTTGTTCTCGTCCCTGTTTTTCCACAATCTACAAACGCTCAAGCATAAAAGAAACTGGACGAATGAATGAAAAATCAATCCTCTCTCTGCTTTCTGTGAACAGGGCGAGCTCACCTGTGCCTCGGGTCTTCAAAGTCATTCTTTTCTAGTGATGTGGATATAAATATGTAATGACGGTCGTTTTCATGTGTGCCCGTGTGTTTGCATCCTGGTCCGCACATGTGCAAGCCACAGTGGTGTGTTTATTACAGCCTTGGAATATTTTCTTTTCCGTTTCCTTTTGAACCAAAGTCCAGATTGGCTGGTTCTTTGTGAGGCAGCAGACTGAGTTTCTGTAGCTGGCACCCTGTTCTTTGTCTGTGCAACCGTGGTAGCTTTCACTGTTCAGTGTACTATCCGGTTCTTATTCGGTTGATTCCAGACTGCTGCTCTGTGAATTGTGAAAAGCCTCACGCTCTGCACATGTTTTCTTGGAGAAAGCGACTCAAAAGCAGGTGTCTAGAACAGCAAATGTCAGAGCTTTCATGACATCAGGTTGAATAAGTCATCCTTTGCAAGTGAAAGGATGAGGCTGTTGTCTATATTTTTCATATTGCCACAAACCTCATAAAGACACCAAAATCTACAATTTGTTACTCTATCCCCTGCATACTTTCCATACCCCGTCTTTGGCATTCAGCTACAAGCTCATTCGTCCCTAACGGAAGACATAAAACTTCACACAAATATACAGTTTAATTTTTAGCCAAGCTAGCAGAATACCTCGAGGGATGGCAATGCCAGGTTTGTTGACAGATATTTGGTATAGATATCCACGGAGCCCAGAGGACGGATCTCACTGACTCTGGAGATTCTCTAACATTTACTCTAATGCCATCAACATGTCAACGTTTTCACTGATGCGGTTATTTGGTCCGTTGGTCCACCGCTTAACTAAATTATCTGCTTGATTGATGCACAATTTTTTACAGGCGTTCAAGGTCCCCAGACGATGGATCCTAGCCACTTTGATGATCCCCCGACTTTTCCTCTAGTGGCACGATGAGGTTGACATTTGTGGTTTTGCGTTTATTATTGAATGGATTTCCAAGCAATTTGGTACAGATATCCATGTTCCCCTCAGGACGAATTGTAATAACTTGCGTAATAACTGGGGACTCTGCTTCAGTACATCAATAGAAAATTGAACGGTTGTTGCCTCATGCACATCATGTCATTTTGCAGAATATTACAGGACTGTGAGTCTCTCCAAAATGGACTCACAGTCCCTCAGCTATAGCTGAAATGTGTGACACAGCCGAGGAGGTGAGAAGGCGCGAGCTGTCTCTCCGTAACACATCGGCTCGCGATTAAACAAGTACCCAGATGATGGAGCTCATTCGTGTGCCCTGCTCTGTTGTGTTCCTTTAGAAAGAGGAAACCGAGATGTGGATGCACCACCTGTTGAAGCACCAAGGATGACGGCGAAGAGGCACTTGCATTTCAGATTCTCTGGATTTATTTCCGTGCACACAGTATATCATTGGGAACATTTGATTCAATTGCTTCCATAACTCAGCCATCTGTCTTGACGGGAGATGCATTAGCAACCAAAATGTAATTACAGGAAGTCCTGTAGTGCTTTTGTGCCATGACTATCGTGTAACTATGCAACATTCAGGGAAAAAGACTTGTTCTTGATCAAAACTGTGAGGTCTGTAGGGTCTTTGATTCCATGTGACTGTATTAAAGACTCAAAGTCAATAATTTAGCCCGATGTTTCCTGGCAATTAGATACTCCAACATTAAAATTACAACACTGAGTGATTTGCTGAAAGGAAAAAAATATTGGCTCAAAAAGACTTTTGCCTCTCATTTCATATTCACATTAAAATCTCAACAAAGAGGGCGAAGGAAAGCCTGTTTATGCTTTTGTGTGTCTATATTTGCATTCGAGGAAAAATATGTATTTATGCTTTCATGTTAATAACATCTTTGGTCCTTGCGTGCGTGAGTGTGTGTGTGTGTGTGTGTTGTTCACACACAGCTGTGGAGAATACGATAATTGACGATGATTCATCGGGACCTTTTATTATTGTTTTGCATGCAGGGGACGAAGAGAGGAGGAAGAAAGGGAGAGAAAGAGGAATTAATCATGTGTTTGTAATGTGTTAGGATGTGTGCATATACCCAGGAGATGCCGTTACCTCCCGTTGACCCCTGAGAAGAGCTCCTATGTGTGAATCCTTGAGTAGGTCTCAGCGTTGGTTAAACACACTCGGGACAAAACACCTTACAGTGAAAATACAATTTATTTGGACACTGACGCATTCTCTGCTGGGAACCAGTTGATGAAGCTCTCTGGTAAGAATCCTGCACTCCTAAAAAAGAAAAAAGTCCCAAAAAATGAAATAAATAAAAGGCTAAGATACGTAGACAAACGGGAACTATAGCAGAAAACAGCATGTATCATATTTTAAAGTCCTTTTTTATAATCTGTAATTGTTTTTTTTGTTATTTAAAGGAGGAAAAAGATCTTTGGGGAAATATCAGAAATGAGCAGAGCCCCGGGCTGTATTCAAAACCGTCTACTACATACTAATGATAAATGCAGTATTCAGTACATACTGCATAAACAAGTTCTGAAAGCACTGGGGCAAAAAAATCAACTGTAATTACAAAACATTGCTCGACAAAATTTGCTCAAACTGCTTTTTCGGTCCCAGCAACAAAACAGTGGAAATATACATCTACAATATTGAAGAGTGCATTCCTATTAGTCAGGGTCATGTTGTGTCTCTGCCTCGTCAGAGGCCGCTCTGTCCCTTTGCCCGTCTGTGAGCGTGACTGGCCGGCTGCCGAGATAACCACAGGTTCTCGTTAATTTTTTAATGGACGTGTGTGTTGTGATATTTAAACAAACCATCCGTCATGAGGGAAATAAAAGCCTCTTGTATATGAGACCGGTCTCTTGAGAGAGCTCCGGCCAGCTCACAGCGGTGGTTGTTGCGCCAGTTTGTGGAGCTTCTCAACTCCGAAAACATTGGAGCAGATATTACATTTTTGTAAAACTGCCAATATTCTAGATCTACACGGTTGATTTCTCGCCCCAAAAATGCTCAGAAGTGAGTTTAGGGATGGCATACCATATGTAAATTGTTAGAAACTTAAAGCTTACTGGATTTCCACAGATATACAAGATAAATGTGTAGATGGTGACTAACTGCTGGCTCGAGTGCAATGGCGGTACATCACAATCAATAGTGCAGAGCCAAAAAAATTGTTGATGGACTTAAAACTAATCAATGGCACTTCTCTTAATCAATTTTTTAAGTAATTCATCAGGTAGAAATGCCTCAGATGTGATTAATATTTGTCATTATTTTTGACATTTCATAGAGCATTGATTGATTGAAATGAATTGCTGATCATCAGTAGTTTCAGCCTTAAGTGATCATACTTCTGGTCCTACTCAAGTCTATACATATTAAATATTATGGCTTTCTCTCATACTGAAAAGGTTTGTGAATAACTCTACAAAAATGATCAACATATGAATAATAGACTGCACATCCTGAGGACATTTTCTAATAAGAAGTTAACTTGAGATGCAGGTAGCAGAGACATAAACATTTTTATTACTTCTAGTTTTCAGTATCGGACAAAACTTACTATAGTTCTTGGAAAAGGGCAGCAATATTATGACTGCAGGGCAACATGGACTCCGTTATTGTATTTTGCAGCCTGCAGCGTCTTTATTTAACTCATATCCGTGCCGTGGCGTACTGACATTATAGTAACTGCTTTTGTCTGACTTTTATGGAGCTCTAGATCCGCTACGATCAGAGGATAAAACATACAGACACTCACACACACACATACACACACACATCAACCGCCTTTAAAACAAATACTTTACCACTAATATCTGTCTTTTGGACTTTAGAGCATTGTTGCTGCAGTATGCCATATAGGTTTACACCAGGCTATTATAAAAATTATATACAAGCTGATTTTGGATGAGTTTAGTTTTCATATCTGTGTAGATCAGTTAAAAATGATCATTTTCAGTCCGTCTCTACAACCATATTAAGCAATTCAAAGGTGCCATACAGACTAATATCATTCATATCACTGTTACTGTCTCAGCTTCTTCTTTTTTGATATTCAACTGGTCGTGTTCATTTCTCAGGTTGTGCCTGGACCTTGTTATAAAAACTATGCCTTTTGTGTCGCTGCCACCCACAGAGGAAGAAATTTGCTCCAAGCGCTTCCAGTGTGTCCTTGAGTTCACCAGCAGCTGCTGGACCGAAACCGTGTAACACTTTTTAAGAAAAGCAATTTTCAAAAGACTCGAGATCCTGTTAAAAGTAGACTCGTGTTGTAATGTGATTTATTTGTATTGATCCGTGTAGCTCCCTCCACAGAGGTCACAGGTCAGGGTCAGATACAGCATTTGTGGACCTACAGTAGGCATTCAGCTCCGTGCTGGCATGAGGCCCGAACCTTCGACAGTGCCAGATGGTCCATTACTTCCTACTCTCCATCCTGGCGCTGACAAAAAGTGTTCTTTGAAACCACGTTTTGAGTTTTCTAGCTCGTCAGTGTCCTCCACACAAACGCACTGTACACTCTTACAGTCTGGAGAGCAATTTACAGAACAGGACAGAGCTGTACCTTACGTTCAGAACCGAGTCTCAGAGCTGCCCCTCTTCAGTGTGGTGCTGTTAAACTCGTCGTGCTCAAAACTCAGATTGTTATGCGACCTCGATATCATTAGCAGCTTCTCCCGCCTGCTGTATTCGCGTCTCGCTGCCGCCGCAGACGCCGACGCATCCAACAGCCGCTCCCCTTGCTCCTCCCTGTCCTCCAGCCGCGCGTAGCCTTTGCTGCTGCTGCCCCCCCGATTGCCACCGTTACAACGGCTGCTGTTGCTACGGTCGAGGCGGGGCCAGCTGGGGTGCTTCCGCTGCTCCGGGTGCACGCTGAGCATGCTCGGTCCGCGCTCCAGGTCCAGAGACTTGGAGTGGCTTCCGAGCATGTGCAGAGAGGAGTTGGAGCCAAAGTCACTCCTTGCTGCTCCCGGGGAGAGCCAGCAGCCTGAGGTAGAGGAGGGAGCAGGGGAGAGGGAGTAAGAGGAGACGGAGGAGCAGTGGGAGGAAGAGGAGGCGGAGTTGCTCCGGTGTAAGCCCGGCGGTTTGGAGGCCTTGGCAACGGATGCTACAGGAACCACCAGAGACTCCATGGAGCTCAAAGGCTGTGACCTCTCTCCGTCCCGCCTCTCTCCTCCCCTCTCCTCCTCAGTAATCGCCTCCATCTCCGGCTCATCGATAACGCAGTTGTTGAGTTTTATAACGGGGAGGGTGAATGCAGAGATAGAGGAGGAGACAATAGAGCGTGCATGGTGTCCTCCCTTCTCCCCATCTCTGTCCACCGACCACTGGTGGCGCACCGACTCTGAGCGGGCCAGCCTGAAGGGGTGATCCTTGTAGAGAGGCGCCAGCAGCCCCGCGAAGCTACAATCCAACCTGGCCTGCCCCCCTTGTCTGCGAAACTCCTCGTCCCCTAACAGCACCTCCTCCTCTTCTGCAGACCCTTCCCCTCCAGCGCCGCCTCCGGCCCGAGAGGAGAACGCCAGCAGGGAGTTGCTGGCCAACCGGGCTGCGCTGTCAGCCCCAAAGGCTCGAAGATCCCCAACTTCTCTTGCATAGGTGCTGTCGCGGTGCTGGTGTTGTTTCTGCTCTCTCTGCCTGAGCCGATGGATGTCAATGACGGTGGAGTACATGTCTCGCATGTGGATGATCTAGTGCAGAAGAGAAATATACTAACAGTAATGGCAGAAGTGTTTGGATAAACTGAGAATACGTTTAATTTTCCATTATAACATATTATTCTCTAGTTTCAAATTTGTACGCGTTTGTTGGATGTGACCTTGGAATACACGTTTCACATGGATTACCTGGAAAGGGGGCGAGGAAGGAGGAGAGGATAAATCAAATCAAGGAAGGGAGAGAGAGGGCATACGAGCAGAGATAATGTGATCAGAGGAAAACTGCAGGGATGGGGATGGGACGAGGTTGGCAGAAATATGATTTGCATGTTAGTTATGTGGATCGGATGAATATGGATGACTGCACTGTGCATGCACCTCATTTTGTAGAGTGTGGAGGAAGAACTGAAATGAGAATTCAGAATTGGGGAGGAATATTAACTACATCTTCTATTGACTGAGGTTTTGTGTTTTTAGAATTGAAAAACCTGTTTGAAATTGTCCTTCGTAACCTTTTGAAGAACCACTTTCTGCACACATCTGTGTTTCAGACCTTGCAAGGCAATATCAGTTCTGTTTATATTTTCTTTACAGCTTATTGGGCTAATAACGTGTAGACCCTCAAAGTCCACTGGCAACTCTAATATTTAATTTCTCTGGTGCCAGGTAGACGCTGATGCATGTCCCACTATTTGGGTATGGGTGTGTGTTTTCTGATTTCAGCCCTACCTTAGTTTCCCGGTCTCTGTTTTCATGAAGAATGGCATTAGCACAGATGAAGATGAAAATCCCAATGCCCATGGTGAAGGGCCCGAACATCTTCATCCTCTCAGAGTGACGATGCTGTTCCAGGAACCGTGTCAGAGCGCCACCGGTCTGCCTGGAGGGCGTACCTACACGCAGAGCACATGGAGGGTGAGAGCCATTTAATACAGAGAACCATGGAGCAGAAGAATGGATGTGTTGAGAGGAAGTCCAAAGAAACTGACTCGATTTAAGAAAACCAATCTTCAGAACCAAAAAAAAGTTAATTTTCATTCCTTCGTTAACTTACCTTGCACATCGTGACTCGTGCTGGAGTTGGCCACGTCCTCGTCCGTGACGGCCATCTCGGCTCCATTTCCTTCACCTGTGGCAGATGTTTTAGCACCTCCAGCGGTTGTTGTCTTCGATCCTCCTCCAGCCGACGATCTGGCCGAGGTCATGGTTTCACTGTGCGGCCAGTAACCCAGCGTCGCCATGCATATCCCTACGGCCAAGATGACCAATCCCAGGAGGAGGAAAAACCCCGAGGCGGAGTAGAGGTGGAGCCTACCGCGCACTACCACAACATCGGTGCGTCGTTTCCGCTTTCTAAATGAAAAGTATGGAAAGAAAACAGACATGGAGACGTATATTTACAGATAACATACAACAAATGTTCAGAGATTGCAAAGCATTTGCATGGACCGTAACACCTGGCACACACGACATTTCCAGTGTCGCTCATAAATCACATAGAAATTAAACTGCTACTAGTAGGCAGTACCCAAAAGCAGTTGAGCTAATTTGCAATTGCAGGTCCAAGTGACTTTTGTTTTAATTTTGAATGCATGAAAATAAGATAATTACCTGGGGGCAGCTTCCTGGCTGGAGTTTCCCTGGCCAGGCGCTGTAGATGAGGGCCCGTGTGGATTGCGGGCGGAGTCTTGGCGTTTGAGCTTAGCCAAGCCTGTCAGCACACCTGCTGCTGCAGTCATACTTAACCTGCAGATACAGAATCAAATTAGCAATGAGTTGGACACCTCCTGTATGCAGCATCTGCTGCGTGTGTATGTGTGTTTGCACTGCCGACCACTGATGCATGGCTGTTGCAGACCAGTGTGTTTTGATCTTTTATACGCACACTCAAAAAGATGCAACTGAAAAAAACAACCTGCAAACAACCATTTGACAAGAGCCACAGAGCCACATACTGTACATTCACACAATAAAAAAACATTACCAGCAACCTCATTTAAGAACAGGTCAAGGGACGCACATCTGTATTTCAGCATAGCCAAAGTCTCCCAGATGCTCTGAATATAAGACACTTTAATATTTAGAGCACAGCATCTCTCACACCTGAGCAGCTAAATTTGACTTCTTTTATGCAGGCGTGTCACCTTACGTACAGGCAGGGACTTTTGAAAAGCCGCAGGTGATTTCCTGTAAAAGTGTGTCAGACTTTCAGCGTCATTTCGAGAAATGCTGCTTACAGTTTAGCAGCGATACAGATGTAAGCACACAAACATGTACACACCCAGTACAATCTCCTCTTGTGTACAGGTGATGTTTTTGTTGTTGGCTGTCAGGCCCTCAGGACAATATGGGCAGGCGTGTGCATGTGTGTGCATACTGTGCGTATCATACATTAAACCCTGCAGAATGTTTGCTTACTGCTTTGCTCCTGTGTTTGACAGAGAAACATATATGTATATATATATATATAATAGAAGGAAAGCAGACAGAGAGAAAAACACACATTTTGGATAATTTATATTAACTTCAATTCAATTCCCTCATTTGCATTTTTTGTTGGCATTGTCGTCGTTATTTACGTTGGTGTAGCAGTTATAAAATTGGAAATACAGTGCTGCAATTATGACATAATATTCATATGAATCATAGTCTCTCCGCTCACCAGCTGCTCAGATGTCTATTAATAGTTGTTAAAGGAAAGAGGGTTTAAAACAAACACAAGCTCATTCCAGCAGCCTTCATTTGTTTTTAAATGCCTGTTAATCTGGGCTCACATGAACATTAGCATTGTCCCGTTTAGCACTAAGAGGATTAAACGGACTGTTATTGGATGTGGAATAACCAAGGTGGATGGCAATTTCACATATTCCTCTTCAGAGCCAATTCTGGCAAAGTTACTGCAGATTGTTTGACGGGTCGCTGTCGTATTTGGCGTCACTACGTCGCTCCTCCACATTCCAAATACGGTAATTTACGTTCATCGGATGCAAAAAGGCCAAGATCCATTGGTTTGTGGACTGTGATGTCACGATGACTACGCCCACTTCTTATATACAGCCTATGGTTGGTACTTCTGCTTAGGAACTTAAACAATTTGAGGAAAAATATGAAACAACATGTCACCACAGTGATCCCCAGCAGCAATCAACACCTCTGCTTTAGCACCGCCTTCACATGGAATTGTACCGGTACTTCATCAATCACATTTAACATACTGACGTCTGATTTATACTGCTGCGACGGTGCGTCTATGCGTTCTGTGCCGTCTGGTGCGGGCACCTCTAGCACTCCCCAGGCATACATAGTTTTGGGGCCAATTGCTTGTGGCGTCTTTTTGATTTAGACCCACAGTTTGTAAATCCTTTGTCGGTATTTGATTTATTTCATTATGATTAACTAGTTTCATTTACGTTTTGCCCAAAACAACTCTTCAGATGGAAAGACACCCTGATGATGAGAAGGAGCTCTTGTGCCTGGAATGAATATGGTTGTTCTCATCTTTATTAATCTACTATATCTTTACATTGCAAATAGGTGTTTATTGCTACATTAATGGTCTGAATACCAAATTTAGCACCTCTTTTTTACATTACACTGTTTAGATCTTGGTCGTTGTTATCTATGTTTTTTAACCGTATGAAGGGTTTAGTCGGTGATCGTCTTGATCTTAAATAATCAGAGAAACGATTATTTATTGTTTTCAGCAGGTTTAATGTCTGTGAATATAAGAGGATTCAACTGATTTAGCTTGGGAACAAGAACACACCCATGACCTTCGCCTGTCTATTTTTTAATTCCTCTCTCCCTCCTTGCTTCTACATCTCTTACCGTCTCTCTTTCTTCCTCCGGATCTGTGAATCTCTCCCTCTCTCTCTTCTATTCTTACACTCAGTCTCTGTGCTAATGCACCCTGGTTGTGACCCTGAATAATTGTTTCCCTCCTTTACTTCCTTTTATTCCACCCCAGCTGACTTTCTCATCTAATCTCTCTCTATTTGTCTTTCTCCTCCCCCCAGATCTATTTTGAATCTGTCTCTAATTTTAATTTTCTTTAATTCGGTCACTTTCATCTGTCTCTCTCCCTTTTCTTTTCGTCGACAAATCTTAAAGCAACAAAATCTGCTTGAAGATTCAGAATCAGACAAAGCTTTTAGTATTCAAAGTGACTGTGAATCGCAGACAAAACCAGACGTTCTCTCCTCCTACCCTTATCTCTCCTTCTCACATCTTAATGTATTTTTCATGTCAATCATTGTATTGGTACTACTAGTGCTCTACCACAGATGGTGAATCACACAAGGACAAACACAACCAGCCTCGCTTCTCGGGTTTTTCTGCGCTCTCTCTCTCTCTCTCTGCTTGGATCTCTCCTTTCGCTCCTTGGTGTGCGTCAAATATGAACCCACACAATGTTTCAAGAGCAGGGGGAGAGATTTCCTCAGTTTACTGAAAGATGAGAAAAGGATGGATGGGCATACAGGGAAAGGATGGAGGAAAGGAGACAGAAGGCAACAACAACAAAAAGAGAGATACTGGAAATACGGGAACAGCAAGAGAAGAGGTAAAGAAGGAGAGGGATGTAGAAGCACTCATCTCCATCAGTGCAATGGGGGGGTACAACACTGAGTCATGACCGGAAAATGAAAGCCTGTACAAAAAGCTGAACAGTAAAAAAACAATGATGAAAACTATTTTGAGCCAGAGAAGTTGGGGTTGATGCGCGGATAGAAAGGCCCGACGGTAAAGGAGAGTGCTTTTCCTGCCAGTGGTGACGGGACAGAAGCTGAAAACAAGCCAAGTGGGTCTGTAGTTTTAACAAGGCAGGAGTGAGAAACAAGCACAGAGAACGCTGCCGTGACAAGCAAGCAGCAGCCTAATGAGAAACCACTCAGGCTTCGACACAACAAGGCTTTCATGGAGAATGTGTTGGACCTGCGCAGCGACCACATGAAGTTAATATTCACTAACCGTGTGCAACACCTAACACCCCACCAGTGGGTCTGTGCAGTTCGCTCACACTGTATGCGAACCTGCAGAATATCTATAAAGAAACCATTCAGTGAGTTATGTTTGGGTGAGAGAAATTTGCTCTATTTTCTGCAACAACGTCGCATTTTGTTTGGGTGAATTAATCACACGGTGATCATACACACTGTATGAATATTAATGTTTCCACGTCCTATCACATACAACTTATAAATAATGCGAAATCCACCGCTCCATTTCCCACCTTACTAATAAGCAGTTTCCTAAATTAGTGCTTATTTAATCATGAATTAGGCTTCCAGTGATCGCCCTAATAATTACTAAATTGCTCCTGCTGTTTATTTGTGCGTACTATAAATACATAATAATAATTTTCCATACCTCACCCCTCAGGGAGGAGATTTATTCTGCTACATTTCAAAATACAGACAATCCTAACACGAGTTTAACATGTCTTACAGAGCAGAGATCCCCCCCCCCCCCCTACTTCTTCTGTGGTATCATCTATAGGAGACGTCACATGATGCAATGTCCCTATAGCAACTACATGTGCTGCTGCCAGGTGACACGTTTCTATAGCAACTACCAGCTATGCAGGAATGACAGGTATGTCTTAATCCTTTTAACAAAGGTAACATTTCTCATGTGTCATTTTGATTTATTTTCTTATTTTGTGCAAAGAAACCAGCTCACGGTTTAGAATGATTTCACTCCACCTCTCCATCAATCTCAAAGATGCATGGTCGAGACGGGGAGGAAAGGAGGAGACCGCAAAGGATGCTGGAGTAGGAAGCAAGGGGGGGGGGGGGGTGAAATGAGAAGAGGAGGTGGTGAGAGGGAGACGGTTATTTTTGCTGCTTGATGGTGGATATAGCCGCTCACACGACATGAATTCTGGATACCGTTACAAACCTCGCTTCCCTGGAGTCAACGAACACAAGCAGATAGCCCGCAGGAACGCCACCACTCTGCCATTTCAACTCAAATTGTGAACGTTTTTGCCAAACTAACTTATTTATAACTTTAGCATCGTATTTCGATTGGTATAGTTTTTGAGTCAAATCTGAATCTGCAACCTTATCAGTCACATTTCTCTGTCAGGTAAATGCAGTCCAACAATGTTTCCGTATCTTATTTTTTAAGTGCTTTGGGGCCTTTTGTAAGTCATGAGTTGGAGGTCTTTTAGTTGGGTGCCCCAGGACCAGGTAGTCTACCTGGCCTATACTGGTAAAGTCTGCCCTTGGAGATGGAGAGTGTGGAAGAGGAAAGAGAACAGGACAGGTGTGAGAAAAATAGCAGAAGATGCGAGAAATCAGGACCAGAGGAAGACAACCAGAGGGGGAGTACTGCAGGCGAGAGAGAGTGGGGGAGATGCTTTGATCTACACGTAACAAACTCCAGAGACGGTGTTTGACTCCAGAAGCACGCTGAGAAAAGTTTGTCTCAAATGACTCACCTCAGTCAGTGAACTGCATGCTAACACGTCATCTCAGGCATCTAATATGGACACATGGAGCTAAGCAGGGGGAGAAAAATGATTATCCATTATGTCTCCCATCATAGTTACAATGTGTTTTTGTTTGTGTCATGAACTGCTCTTGTAAGGTGAACTGAGGCCACATTGCTCTATTGAATATAAAAAAAATACAACACTGTGCCAGTGGCTCTTTTTCTCACTTGGGCTGGATTAAAATGGAGACAGAAACCCTGCTGTGCAATTAAGGTCACCTGTCACAATATCATGGAGCTGGTGTTCAGACATGTAAGACTACCCTCGAAACAACACTATCAAGTCCTATTTTTCCGAAGTATCGTGGCTAAAATTGAATTTTGGCAAATGTTCAGAATATGCAACGGTAATTTACTTTCTGTTTTCTTTCAAAGAATGATGGAAATGACCTGCACGCGTGAGGGCTAAAACGCAGTGAACGATTTCTGATCTTTGTACAACCTGTTCTTCAAATACTGAAGATACTAGCAAGCATATTATTGCCCGGGTCAAACTTAAGTACTTCATTTGCATGTTCACCTACACCACTGTCGAGCACAGTCATTATTCAAGCACAGTTCAGTTTGGTGGAACAGATCTTGTTCATGGACTGATTTATATTTTTGATAAGAATTGATTTAGTATTATGTGTTTGACAGTTACTTTCTTGTTATTTAAATAAAATCTCAAAAGACACCCAACTTATTCAGTTGGACAGCTTCATGTTAGGTCGAATAAGTTGTAGTGTAGCATAGTATAGCATAATACTGTGTAAAGTATAGCATTGTAGTATACAGTATAATATGGTATCGTACAATATATAGTCCAGTATAGTACAGTACAGTTTTATATAATATATAGTGTCAAATACTATAGTACAATATAGCAAAACAATAGTGGATCTGTCTAATGACAGATTCTTTTATGTCTGTGTTCGAGGATTATACTGTTTTGCATGTTTCAGCCCATTAACTACAAATTGTATACCGTTAATATTACAAATAATTGTAGATAATCACTTTAGCAAATGGGTGCCGGGCAGAAATTCCATTAAAATTTAAAATCCTCTTAGCTTGTGCCGTCCAAAAAACACCCAAAACCATCATCCTTTAATGGAAGAAGTTCATGTGATCCCTTTTTCCAGTGTTCATGTTTGCTTTTTGTGCCTCGCAGCTTTTATCTTTCAGACATAATAGCTCACACTTGTGGTATTTTTGGCAGAAGTGTTGAACGAAATATGCTTCACAGCTTCCATAAACACACTAACGTAGAGGAGCATTCAAAACTGATCTGCAATTACATTACTAGACAATGATAAATCAACTTTAACAAAAATCAGCTGTTTTCCGAGACAACATTTCGTTTCATCAAGTAGATTTCATTGCATACTGCTGTGAAATTAATTTGAACTAAAACTAAACGACTAAAAAGGGGGTAAAATGGTCACCGCAAACCTCAGGTAAACGTGAATTGCAGTTTTAATTGGCTGCAACATGATAGACCACTGTGATCCTTCACAATGAGTTTCCTGCTCCAGCCGGCAGGATGTGACAGGAAAGACATCACAGAGAGACGAGATGACGCGCGATACCAAGCTGTGAAATGGATTTCCGCACATGATGCGCCTCGCAGCAGGAGCAGGTCTGTTTTGGTTGTTTTGTTTTTACAGTAATTTACTGTGGATCCCTGAAGTGTAATTCTCTGTTTGCATTTCCAGAAAGGCAAGGACATGAAACCTGACCAGCGCCACACCTGGAACACAACTGGAAACGTTGGAGGAACCACCATCTTGAATTCAACCCAGGGATCTGCCCGTTCATCTCTATGTAGTAGGTTGAGATCATTTTTATCAGCAGTCCATAACTTCTTATATTATTTCAAACACACCCAGTTGTTGGTTAGTTAAATTGTTTTTGTATTTAGTTTTATTTGGTCAAATTAAGTTTATTTGAAAGAAATGTGAAACTCTCTTGACTTCATGTTGTTGCCAACTGAAAATCCCTGCTAACTAGAATTAACTAAAGGTAGCATCACAGATAAAACACACTTTGGCATCAGAAAAATCCCAACTCTCTCAGTTGTTACCACAACTTGAATGTTGACTTTGACACGATTGACAAATTGGTAATTAGATGAACATGCCCTTAGCTCTCTTCTAAAGTTGAATGTTTGTGAAACTATGTTGGGAGTTACGAGTTATATGATGTCACCATATAACAACGTAACAAGTGCAACATAGCATGAGTACACACACACACACACACACACACACACACACACACACACACTGTCCTGGGAGGTGGTCTAATCAGGCAAAAGTGAAAACACCTGTGCAGGAGCTTTTGTGATAAAGCATGAGAAAATTGCATGCAGCTATCACATTTTCCAGCGCCGAGTTGGTTCACAATGTTAATCGTTTTGTTTTCCATCGCGACACCCATTTAGAATTGAGTCACAGAATCGACTGAAATTAAATAAATTGCCTGTATGTTTGGGTCTGGCTGAGTAGTCAGACCTCAGGCTGAGCCTGGTGCAGTAACCTGAAGGAAGTCGCTGTCCTTCTTGCAGTTCTTTAATAAAGAAGCACACCGCCGTTTCGATTTTTGTGAAAAAGTGTTTCATATCCATCCATCTCACTGAGCGGGAAAGAGGTGAAGGAGGAATGTGTATCAGAGTAACAAGAATGAGCAGAAGATAAACAGATAGCGAGCGTGTGTTTGTGCATTGCTTTACTCCTACAGACTCAATGGTGAGTCATCTGTCTGGAGAATATGTCACTTTGTGTTTTCCTGCTGACCTTTCGGCAGCACATTTTCTGATGCAAACACTCGAGTGTCAAATCCTGCACCCTCTTCACCATCTTGTTTGTATTTTTTCTTTCCTCATTATTTTGATGATACATCCTGTTTTTTTTTTTTTTTTATTAGTCTTGCATCCTTCACACTGAATCAGTTTCGTGCCATTGGCTTCTGTGATGAATTCAGCTCTACTCAATTGAATTAAGATTTGAATTGAATCATCAGATGCTCATGCCAGGCATGTGTGTGTATGTAGGCATGTGTGTGTGTGTGTGTGTGTGTGTGTGTAGGCGTGTGTGCGTGTGTGTGTGTGTGTGTGTACTGGCGTGATCCCCCTGTTAATTCTACAAAATGACTCACTCCGTCTCCCTCACAGTCCCGATTATCAGGCAGTCACCCACACCCATCCTGAGGCACGAACCGTCTCCCAACATGCCCTGCAGCAGTGGCGCCCAAGCTGGAGTCCTGGGACCTTTGTGGGGTCATTGTTTGGATTCTAGAGGCCCACAGCTTAAGAAATAATTTAATTCCTCTATGCCTCCATTAACATCTAATTTTCCATGAACAGTTCTTATTCAATTTGTCCTTGGGAACATTCTCAGCGAAGACATGAATTAGGGCTGAACAATTTTTTTATATATATTTAATTGCGATAATTTTTGACTGATATTGCAATCTCGATATGATTTGTGATATTAGGGGAATTGGTCATTTTTACATGATTATTTTTATTCTCATTTAAACACAAATTAACTTACAGCGAAAAATAACACACCTAAATTGAATCAGGAATCGCTCCTCAACCATAAGGCTCATATACATATTTCTGGTCTAATTTGAAAGGTAAGACGCCAAGGAATATAAATCCATTGTAAGTATTGCCATTCCAGAGTAAATGTAGATAAAATAAAGGAAAAAATATCATTTTTATCCTCCCTCTCTCTTCACAAAGTCGGCCGCCATGTTTCTACAGTAGGCCAGAACGGACAAACCAAACACTGGCTCTAGAAAGGGCCATTTGCTTTTTCATGTTTTTTTGCGTGGGCCACCGTAGTTCTCCGACACGCTTCAAACACAAGAGAAGTTTCAGTTGGTTGCAATCTGTAACCTCACCACTAGATGCTGCCAAGTCCTGCACACTGCGCCTTTAAACCCTTAATTGAACCCTAATCTGCACAGACACACAGGTGTTTTCAGTTACTCTTGATTACGTTGCGTTCACATGGACTTTGACTGAAGCCTTATTTATCTGCTTTTTCTGCCATTAATAAAGTCCCAGCTTTCACAGTCATACTTACAACTTGAATAAGGACTTGAAATGAACATAGTATAAACTGTTGATTAGATGAACATGCCACAAGTACATAGATTAATATCAGTATGACGATAAAATGTGAAGTTTGACTGCTTCGCTCCCCTGTTGATAGCGGCCGCTGTGTGTTTTGATGCAAAGTGCATTCAGATGCATTAGAAAGCTCTGAATTTCTACTTCCCAGCGATACCGAGTATGATATTGTACAGTGTTAAGAAAATTATTTTGAACACAACTTGTTTGTATACTTACGAATTCTGAATTTGTATGATTTCATTGTTTAAATACTTCGTTATAAGACGTGGTTTGGACAAGCTACAGTTGGTTTACGGATTCAGAAAACTGAAGACTCCGTTTAATATGCATATGTTCGATAAAAATCATCACGATTTTTGTAATTACGCCACAGGGGTGGACCCTGGATACCGGGTCCGTCAGGTTAAACAGGTTTGATTATGGTGTGATTTTTGTGAGGATTTGTACCAAGCAATGTTTTCTTAATTCTGTAGAATATTATGTGTTGGCCAGGACATCGCCTCTTTGGAGTCTTTGGAGCGACAAAGCCCTCGTGGGGGGTGTTTAAAAAAAGGATTATCCAGTTACTGGATGTGTGTGAAGGAGAATTAGCTGATATGTCGCCTGACTTCTTAACGATTCTCAAGTTAATCTCAGATGCATTTCTGCGTAAAAGTGGTTGGCGGCTAAGGATGTCTCACGAAGAGCCATTTGGCTCAGTGAGTCACCCTCGTTCTTCAAACAGCTCTCAAGGAGACAGTTGCACCTAATTCACCAACACTTTAATCACACTAAAGACAATAAAACCAGCACCAGAGCCTCTGTTGTTAAAGCCTCCCTCCACTCAAAGATGGGGTTTGCTTATTGCTACTTCATTTGTGTGACACTTTTCACATTCATCACGTTGGAGTGTATACACGAACAGGATTTTATGACAACGCATATGGAAGCCAACCAAGTTTCCACATGAAACATACATATGTGATGTGTAAACTTGAAGCCTCCATTGCAAAGAAAACCTCTGAGAATGGACTTCACAATAAGAGACATCTTGTGCCCCGTCAGTTTCTGCGGTTTTCAATGCGGGAGAGGGAGTCGATGAAATTTCAAGAATTTTGACAAAGCATTTTTCTAACCGGAGTATTTTATGAGTCTTAAAACATGTGTGTAGGGTCATTTACATTAAATATCCTGTATTTAACCAAGATATATGCTGTGTAATGACTGAAGGTACAATGAAAGTGACCATCGACACATTAATAATGACGTTTGACCCAACTTTGAAGGTATTAATACTGACATCATGCCTTGTTAGGCAACTAAGAAGTTAATTATAATAAAGAGAGGAGTATTTAAATCAACCCTGGCACAATTAACAGATAGTATTCCCAATAAACCCACATGGTCATACATTATGCTGGAGTAATTTAGATCACATTAAAGCTTAAAACAAACAATTGTGGAAAGAAGGCCGCTAATAGATTATCAGACTGCCTGGAGCTCATGCTAAACTTCCTTGTTCATGAAATATTAAACACAACGTCATTAAATATGGATGGAAATAAAAAAAGATAAGACTGTAGAGCTGCCAACCTGGATTGTTTAAGAGTTGAAGAAGTCAAACACTGGTCAGTTCTTACCTTTGCAAAAAGCCGAGTGTGTCACTGCCACTGTGCCTTTAGGCATGGAGAGGGATTAGGCTGTAACCTGGGGGGAAGTAAAAAGACATCTCCCACTTTGAAGGCTACTTCCACTGAAACGCCATGCCGGAGAAAATTCAGATGACAGGAGGCACAGTCTGATTGGGTTTGCGCGCTTTCAAAGTGTCCGTGTCGTTGACTTTATGTCGCGCGGAGCACGTTTTCCGCCATCTGGGGAGAACGTGCGCTTCGGACAATGAGGGCGCTCCTTTTTACGACTCGAGGAAATTCCTGAAAAACACTCCGCCTATTTAAAGTCGTTAACGCTCTGGACGAAAAAAAAGAAAAGGTAATTCCCTTCCGGAAGAAAATATCCCTCGTCTCAGTGGTGGAAAAGACTACAAAAGCCGCTGATGTGAAGTCCCCTCCTGGCTGTCTTTAATGGAACGCGTAAAACTCTCTCCCGGTATTTGCGTCCAGAAACTTCACGTCAAAGAAGAGAAAAGAAAAGATGCAGCTCTTTTTTTTAGAAAACCTTTGCAGCGAGTTGTTGCGTTTCAAGAGAGAACGTTGAGCAGAGTAAACCGGCGAGTTAACCGTGTTTTTACGCCGGAGAGAGAGAGACGCGGTAGCTCCATCCAATTCCTCCAACGCGCGTGTGGGAATGTGAGGGGCTTTCACTGAGGCGCTGTTTGTGTGTGTGTGTGCGCGCGCGAGAGAGAGAGAGAGAGAGAGAGAGAGAGAGAGAGAGAGAGAGAGAGCGAGAGAGAGAGAGATGGGGGTGACTGGTTTGAGACGAGGTGGGGAGAATGTAAGACAGACGTTTTGAGCAATAAGCTGTACAGTAAGTGTGTGTGTGTGTGTGTGTGTGTGTGTGTGTGTGTGTGTGTGTGTG